ATTATATCACTCCGCATATATATATATATATATATATATATATATATATATTGGGTGTCTAAATATAAAACTTTTTCCCATTTTTTTCTTGTCCTTTTTTATAAGATTTTTAATTACTAGTTGTATTAGTATTATTTTTCTAAAACATCTTTGTTTAATTAACAATTTGTCTAGACAAAAAATAATAAATGTTTAAAATTAATGAGATAAAACTATGTCTCTCATTAGGATTAGAGAAGATAAATAGTCACCCTACAACATTGAGCCCCTTTTTTTTCTTTTCTCTTCATAGACTGTTAGCTCCAATTTTTGTCTTCCTTTATAATTCAAAATTATATGATAAAGTCCAGTTCATACATATCACAAAAGATAATACATATTAAACAAAAAAATAAAACAAAATAGAAAAATAAGAAAAAACACATCGATCATCTCTTCCTTTATCTTCCTTGAGCCCCAGCAACTACGCCCCCAACTACTCTGCAAAACCTTACCCTGCAATCATGCCCTATTAGAGTCACTAAACCTTTCACTTAACCAAATTCACAAGCCATATATCCCTGAATTTAGGGATTTTGGTAGAGAAAGATATTAGATTAATCAAATTCAAAGAATCCTTCGTCTATAAATAACACGACACAAAAGGAAGAGGGGGCTGGAAAATTTTTCCGAAAAAAAGAAATAGAAAATCACAAAGAGAGACGTAGTGAATATGAGTGTCCGACATTGAAGAAATGCAAAGAGCATCCAAGTAGTGACAAAAGTACCAAAACGTGCCAGCTAGGTATAATTTCTTACTCTACCTCATTTGGATGATAATTTTCTCTTATATTCATGGATAAATGCATGACAAAACAACCATACAAATGTGAATCATTAAAAATGTAAGAAGATCTAGAAAAATGAAGAAAAAATGTACATGCAACCTTCGTATGTCCATAGTTATTGTTCATTTTTCTTCTCTGAAACTGCTAATGATGAACTACCCTGAATTTTAAAAATAAAATATGAGAAGAAAAGATAGATAAATGTAGAACCAAAATAAGCCTACACTTACCTTAATTGATTATCACCACAAGTGCCGTTGTACGCCGTTGACAAAAATGATTTCCAACGGTAATGATGCCCCACTTCTCTCCTTCTACAAATGTCTTCATATCCTACTGGCAGAGACAATTTTCGTTTCTCTTCTTCTCCTTCACACCGCTGTTGTGCGGATCTCGTTTGCTGCCGTATTGAAGAACCACTTGAACCCAGACGATTGAATCCCACCATACCCCATCGCCAGCAGCCAACTCGTCTTCTTTCCCTTTCCCTTTTGCCGATTAAGTTACTGTATAAATAAGATTGCATGTGCTGGCCCTAAGATAATAAAACCCTTTTTTCTTGCCTTTACCTTTTGTGCTTCTTGTTGTAATTTCATTTTATTTTTCCCTTTATTTTTGAATAACCACATAATCCTCGGGTAGTGGTTTTATGCGTTTCGTTCCAATTTTACAAATGCAAGTTTTCCTCTTTTTTTTTTTTTTTTTTTTTTTTTTTTTTTTTTTTAATTCACGTGTTTTTTATAAGATATCATCTTTGATTAATATAAAATTTTATATATATAATTTAAGAGTAAAGAATTTTCAATTTAATGGTTGGATTTACAAAATTCTCATTTAATATAAAGTTATCGACAGGTGTAATACTTAGCAAAGATTATACCGGTGTTATTATAACACTCCTCACACACACACACACATATATATATATATATATATTTAAAATTTTATTATTTTTTTTAATATATGATTGTCAATTTTTGTAAATAAATTCTTACATTTTCGACAAATATAAATTTGTCGGAAATATTCTATCAGTAATATAACTTTTCTTAAGAAATTTTTTTTTATTAAAAATATAATTTTTTCGACGGAAAAATATGTCAGTAATTTCTGACAGATTTTTCTGTCAGAAATTTCTGACAAATTTTTCCATCAAAAATTTTTGACAGATTTTTCTGTCAGAAATTACCGACTGTTAAAAATCTTATATTAATCCAACCGTCAGAAATTTGCATTTTTCTTGTAGTGAGTGAAGTTATGTTAAGTGACATACTCACATGGTCTAACCTTGCCAAAGGTCGACTCATGTTAAACCTTTGATATATACACCTCGATTGAGATGTGGGCCTCGATTGAGATGTGGGCTTGGCATTAGGGCTTGGTGGCTTAGTATAAAAGGATGGAAGAACATTTGGCCTAGTATCAACATTCTTTGGTGGAATGGTAGAGACTAGAGACAACCTATTACACAAGAGAGTACATACACGTGAATAGATGGACATGGAACGAACATTATACAAATACATATATGTTATATTCGAACATGACTTACCCCCTACATAAGGTGAAAAAAAGAATCTCCCTCGAGCTGATCGAACACCCTCGACAAGGAGGTCCATGATCGGAGTTGCCTATGACTAGTCTATGTCAACGATGGACCCTGGTGGGGGGTTAGAGGAAAGATCAACAAACAACTTGACAATTGACTTATCAGTAACCTTAGTCGCCTTCCTTTTTCTTTTTATGTCAAGGTCGAAGACTACTTTGATCCTCTTTGACATTAGGGACACTTCTTCCTCAATGTTGAACTTAGCCTTCAACTCACGCCATTTACTTTTACCCTTGATTTCTACAAACAAACAAAAAAAGAGATCATTACAAATTGAAAAAATCAATAAAGAAAAGATAAATCGTATTAATATATACTCACTTTCTAAGTCTTCCTTGATACTTTTGGAATTGGAAAGCAAAAACACTACTTTGCTTTCTAATGGTTGGGGTAGTGACTGCAATTTTTCTATGTCCTTCTCATCAGACGAGGTTAGAGTAAAACCTTCAAAACTAGAAAATTTTTAAGGATGGGACTACTAATAGAAAGGAAACATGAGCTCCCCATTCTTATGGAATACATTAGGTAACATAAGGTCAGTACAAACAGGTCATATCCTACAAAATTATTCTTTGAAATTCTTATAGGATTAAGTGAATATCTAAAAAAGTCCCCCCTTAGAACTACCACTCAGTGAAACTGAACCAAGCAATGGCTCTCCAAGTTTCAATTGATAAAAATGCATGAATTTAGCCAAAGAAACTTCAATGTTCAAGTTCAAACACAAAACTTGAAAGGCACAAAGAAAATCTCAATTGTTCGGGTGCAACTAACTAGGAGCTAGTTGATTTTCCTCAAAAAACACACTTAAGGGAAGAAAACATCATAGAAACTCTGAGCTCTTTAAAGATACATTAGTACATATAGAATTAAGGGGGAAGGGATGAACTTGTAAAAAAATACACACTCATCAGATTAGCAAGGTTCCACAAATATCAAATTAGAAAGAAAAAAAAAGGTGAATAGATTGTCACTCTTTCTCAGAGTAAGCTTATCTCAAGCAAAGACCTAAACCTACTCTTAAACTTATCTACATTACCCTTAACCCATTCATACCCATATCAAAATCAAGGGATGAGAATATTTCATATTATTACCCATATGCCTCATTTTCTTACTTTCATTATCGTCTAAAACCACTTTATCGGACTGTTTACGGTGGAATTAGTTCATGGATTCTTTTTATTCGAACTAGCACAAGAGATGTTTCAATGTAGGTATTTGTCGCTTTAATGAAATGAAGAACAAGGGATGGAGTAGAAAGATTCAATAATTACTTGTTTCCAAATATTCGTCAATGATCAACAAACAATAATCTTCATGCATATAAATCCTCAAATAAACTGAATGAACGATAAATATATTTGCAATACAGATCATGGTTCACTTTGCATAACATTACAATGCATAAAATTACAATTAAAATGTTGAAGCATGTTACTACAATTACACGACTATACTACGTGATTAAAAAGAAACTACACTAATCCTAATCCTAGAAGAAGAAAAGAAACGTGGCCAAGAAATGGTCATACCCAGCAATTCCTTGCACGAAAGTCATATGCGTAGATAGTGAGTGCTTGAGAGTTTCAAGTATGATGTTTCCGACCTCCTCAAATCACTATGCTTTCTAAATTTATAGAACTAATCAAGGGCGGTTAATTTTGTTCGTGTGCGTTATTGGAGCATAACCGCCATCCACTAAACTCACCACGTGGCTCAAATTATAACTTCTCTTAACCGTTTTGTCCCACGTCTTTATTTCCTTGATTCGACCTTTAATAACCACCCTGATGCGCCTTAATCGTCACCAAGCTCCAGTAACCTCTTTTCATTTTTTTGAGCAGTCCTTGTTCTATTCGACCATACCTCGAGCACCCCCTCGAGCACAAACAAATAAGGCTCCTCATACGCTTTCAGCAGGTGTTGACTTTTATCTTCCTCTCGAGTAGCTTTGTAAATGTAACTTTCGACTCGTATATTTTTCGAGTAGTCCTAACAAATGCCCCCCTAGGAATTCAGTTTCGATGAACATACTGGGTGAAAAAGAACTGGATTCCTATCAAGAATTTTGCTTCGATGCCTTCTCGAATCGTTTCACTTGATAATTGGTAACTTAGATTCCTTCGATCAAAACCTATTTCTGACCCTATTTAATGTGATGACCGTTTGATGTGACATTGATTACCCTGACAGCGCATGCTTGCATTTTTTCCCAAGTCTCATTAATGTAAAACATTTTTTGGCGGCCGTTTTTATCATTTACTTCAAATTTGAATTTATTTATGGGCCCATTTTACTTTCAGGCCCGTTAAACACTCTTTTTACCCTAAGGTAAAAATTGCTTCCACCACTTTCTTTCTTCGCGCCTAAGTCTCCTCATACTCGTTTCTTTGCTCTGCTTCTTGGTTTTCTTCTCCGGCGACCTTACCATATCTCCCTTCACCCGTTCTTGCCTTTAATCATGATGGCCTCCTCTGTTGTATCTACTTCAGCCACTGCTTCTGCTCTTTCTCCTACTAAGGCTACTGTATCCTCCACCCAGACTGCTCCCTTATTGATGGCCAATGCCATAGTTTGCACTGTCAAGGACGGAGATGAGACCTTCGTTCCTATTCCTGGCATGGAAGAGGCGAGTCTAAAAATCTTTCAATCTTAGGTACTTCTCCCCTTCTCTCTTGAGAATGGTAGTATTCATGCTTTCTTAGGTCGGTTTGAGGGTCAAAATAAGAAAACATTTGGCAACACCCTGTTGCCTGAGGATTCTTCTACCTTACCTTTCATTCATTTGCTGAAATTGATTTGTCATTGTTTGGAGACACAACCAAGATCTTTAGGGCCTTTCCCCTACCAAGGATAGGCATTTAGCATGGTTAACTCGTATAGAAAGTTTGATGCATTCCGTGTGGGTAGAAACTGGTATTTCTGAGTTTATTCAATTAGCTAAGTTTGATTTTCATTTTTTTGACCCTCAAATGCTTCTTTCCACTATATTCTTCTGGAATAGAGAAACTCGAGCCTTCGAGTTTCCTTGCGATTTCGTGTGTCTTACCTTGCTCGATATTGCTGCTATCACGGGCTTAACACCTATTGGGGATAGGTTCTATCCTAATGTTTTCGAGGAAGAGATTTCAATTAAGGAGACCTCAATCTCGTGGGATAAGAAGACTTGTTTAGCTTTTATTAATGCTCACATGGGAAAAATCGATACTCCTATTTCGACCTCGGAGCATATTGCTTTCTTGATGTATTGGCTATCCGCTTGTGTTTTCTGCACCCCTTCTCTCCAGGTTCCTAAATACTATTACATATTGGCTCAAGCTTTACATCTGAAAAAGAAAATCTGCTTAAGTAAACTTCTATTGGCCTCTTTATATACCTGTCTCGATGAAGCCTCGGAGAGCCTTTTCCGTGAATATGGTCCTCGTAATCTCTCCGGACACTATGGCTACTTCAATTGTGGCTCAACGCGATTTTCGAGAAGAAACTTTCTCTGGCTTCATCCTTTACTCCAGTATGTGAACTCGAAGGAGCTCGTTTGACGACTCTCACCCCCGAAAGCATTCAATCAATAAATTTGCAAAATATATTAACGTTATTCTCAGTTTCACCGAATTTAGTGAATACTTGGCCCCTTTCATCCGTACTACTTTGATGGGCCCGCCTTGGCTTCAACAAAATAACCAAGTTGGAAGTATATCTCCAGATTCGATTGAGATGTGGTTTGGGTTCCTATCTTGGGATGTAATAATCTCCGGAATGAGACAAAAAGACGTTAGGATCTACCCTTATCAACCTCAGCTTTTTCTCGACAATTTGGTCTTTGCCAGATGAAGCCCCTTCCTCTTCGACGAAAAGAAAGTGTTGACACTGATATCTATGTCGAGAAAGGAAATTATGAGGAAGTCTTGGATTTTATTTTACGCCCTGAGAAACAACTTAGACTCACACCTTGCACTTTTTCCCCTTCTTTCTTAGTCTCAAAGTGTTTTCTTCGATGGTGGTGTGAATACTATGTTGATAAGATTCTTAACTTTGTTGAATTTTTGAAGAAGCTGATTAACTCTCCTCTTTCTTCGCAGGGCCCAAAGCAATCAGGTACTTACATGAACCAAACTATTATTTATCAATTCGAGCAATTTTTTTAAAGTTTGTTATCGACCTGACAATATTGGTCGAACCATCTTTGGCGCATCTGTCTCTTTATCGAAAATGGTACAAAGGAACATCCACTCGAAAAAGGTGATTAATCCTCGAGGAAAAACTGATTTTGAAAAATTTTGTCCTAAAAACATTTCTTCTCTTCCCAATGGTCGTTTTGGTTTAGTTAAACATTTATCTCGCCCTCCTTGGGTGAAGACACTTGACCCATTTTACCTTGAGCGCAAAGAGATTCCTGTAAAGGATCGAGTTACCTATGTGAGATGTTTCGTGTATGATTTTCCTCTAAGGAGATGGTGGCCATTGTGTTGGGTCGATAATACCAATCCTCCTCCTGGTAAATGCCTTTAACTACAAACAAAATTGTCGAATTCCATTTTTTACTTATCTCATCTTTTGCCTCTGTTATGTAGCTGCTATCCCTCAACGTGTTCCTCAACATGTTGAAGAGACTCCAAATTGGGAGAGTGATGAAGATGATGACAAGGGGTCTTCACTGAAGACTCGAAAAAAGAAAAACTGCCTCTGACAAAGTATCTTTACGTTCTAAGGTATCTTTTCAAGTTAATTCCATGATTCGATAACTTAACTTAATCATGTGAACTTTCCTAAGTCTTCTCTATTTATCAGAGTCTCGAGACCTCGAAAAAGCAAAAAGCAGATTCGACTAGCACCAAAACTGTGAGTGATTTTTATTTGCCTTGTTACATTTTCTTGTTTCTCATTTTCACTTTCTTATTTCTCCAGATTTCGACCACCAAAAAGCCATATAAAGGAAAGGGGAAGTTAGTAATTTCTCTTCCTAAGAAAACTTAAAAGCCTCCTGTCGAGAAGCTTCTCTAGGATGATATGAAGTCTATCCCCAAGGTACTTCAACTTTAACTCGACTCCCAGTTTTTATGAGCCTTCCATGTGCCTTCGATTTTTCTAAGACTTTTTCTTCTTATAGGATGTCGAGATAATCCAACTCGATTCTTCTAAGGAAATGTCTAGGGATATTCCCCTTCTTACTAGGGCATTTCAGCAGGTTCGATTTTCTTCATCCTCACTTTTCTATACTTTTTGCTGCTTTGTCCTTATTTTAACTTTACCATTTTTGTAGTTGGCCACTCCTCAATCAAACATTGTCGAGATGGCCTCGATGATGGCCTCGATAGAGATTCCTCATCAAGTTGATGAAGGGAAGGTTCCCTCGTCGGAGCCTTTGGTGAACGTAGAAACTCCTCACCAGTCCTCGTGAAGTTACTTTGATTACATATATGGTTGACATTTACCAACTCTTGTCATTTTTATGTAATTTGGTCTATTAAAAACATATGAATTGTCTAGTATTTTATTAATTTACAGGTTTTATTCAGGGATCCTTCTAAAATAAGTCAAATATTTTAAAAAAAATTAATCACTTTTAACATCGGTCATAACATGATCGATGTTAAAAGTGGAACTTTTAAAATCGGTCACTGTTGACCGATTTTAAAAGTCTCACTTTTAACATCGGTCGACGACCGATATTAAAAGTCCCACTTTTTAAAATCGACTCTTTTAAAATCAGTCAAAGAATCGATTTTAAAAGTAAAAAATGGCCGATTTTAAAATTTTTTTTCCACTAGTGATGAAACTATATGATGACTAATAACTCTTTTTAATAAATTAAAATATATAACTATATATAAAGATCATGATTAAGATATTTTTTTATTTATAAAAATTACAATAATTATAAAAACAATTCGATCGAACTTAAAATTTTATGTATATTATTTCACCTCTGTATCATTAGATTGATCTTCGTAACTCCTTGACTATGATGATATAGTTTTAGAATTTCTAATTGATGGCTACAATGCGGCCATTTACTAAGATTTTCTTTTTATGCTATTTTTTTTGTAAGTTCTAGTTTTTTTATAGAAAATTTAACAAATACATAAAAAATAATAGAAATTTTATATAATTATTATTATTATTATTTTCTTAAAATATTACAACATAACAACTTTCTAAAAATATTATTAAAGATAAAAATAAAAATAATAATTAGTATTGCATTGAAAATTAAAATAATACTTATTTATTTATTTATTTATTTTTACTTATAATGGGATGAATGGTGGGAGTATATATTATTATGACCGAAGTGTTTTACACAGCCCGCTTCAATCATGACAACTTGGCTTGAATCAATTAAAAATAGGTCGTTTAGGTCTAGTGTTAATGAACGATTTCTTTGAAATATAATATAATGCATATGAATCTGTTTGTGTTTCTCTATGAATATATTGTATACCTCTATCAATGGTATCAATGAAGAATCACAAATTGTTATTTTTACTCCTTTTAGTTGTAGAATTAGGACTAGACGTAGTGATAAAGTAGTTATCTTTCACCTATCAATGTTGCTTTCATCAGCGACTCTCCTCTCACACACAAGCAATTATTGGATCCTGTAAAACGCCGGTTTTGGTCATGTAGGACCTGGGATCTGCATTGGTCTTGATGTGTACTATACTAGTGTTATGGTTTTGTCAACCTAAGCTTGATTATGTTGCTTCCAAAATTGTGGGGAGGGATGGAATCTAAGAATCCATGATAACTTTGCAAGCAGCACTCGTTTGGATTGTAATACTGATGCTTAAATTGAAAACCTGCCAAAACCATTTACTTTGACAAACATTCTAATTTCCTCATTTTATAATTTAGGATGCATCATAATTTGTAAGTTACTTTGATTACATATATGGTTGACATTTACCAACTCTTGTCATTTTTATGTAATTTGGTCTATTAAAAACATATGAATTGTCTAGTATTTTATTAATTTACAGGTTTTATTCAGGGATCCTTCTAAAATAAGTCAAATATTTTAAAAAAAATTAAATAATTCTTTTCATTTGAATAAAATTTTGGGATATTACACCTCGCAAGACGAAACTCCTTCTTTCGAGCTTAAACCTCCTCTTAGTCCAAATAAAGGTATATTTCTTCTTTGAATTTCTATCAACATTCGTAAAGAACTGTCTTTCTTACCATTTTTCTTTTTCTCTATGCAGATTCAACCGAGTCTCCTAGGCCTTATATTGCTTCTCCTTCGACCCAAGGTGGTGTCAAATCTTCAGTTCCAGCACTTTCCTCGATCCCTTCAACTGATTTAGACTTAATCAATTTTTTCAATGAAGAGGATGAAGAGGTCAACGATATTTTTGATGTCCTTGACAATTGGACAAGTGGTCCCTCTATCTCGGAGAAGGTTCCTGAGCCGGTCTCTCAATCAACTCCTACTTTTCAGCCTCTACTCGAATCTTTTCGGTCGAAGGCATATGTGGACGACCTCGATCAAGCTTTCCTTGTCCCCGAATTCAAAATTGAAGTTGGGCAGATGGTGGATGACTTGCTAGCTTACTCAGACCTTCCTCCTGAGATTCATTTCGAGCTCCAAGAATTTATCAAGCCATTCACCCTTGCCTGGGATCTTAGGAGCAAATGGTCTACAAAATTTCAAGAAGTGGCTCAAGTTGAAGTCGAGAGTGAGGGAGACCGTGCCAAACTCATGAATCTTCGGCAATAGTTGCTCTCCCTCAGGAAATCAACTGAAGAAATGATTCCTGCCTTGAAGAAACTACAACAGGAAGAGGGAGATGTCGAAAAATCCATTGAGGCTCTGCAACATGAGTTGAATAACATTCGCTCGAAAAAAGATGCTTTAAAAACGCAAAGTCAAGAAGTTATTCAGCGTCACAAGAGTCTCAAAGAGGAGGGCAAGGTGATTTCTTCCAAGCTTGCAAAGACCTTGGAACAGAAGAAACACTTGGAGAATCAGTGTGCCTCTCGAAGGCAGAACTTGGATGAAGCTTATCATGCCTTTAAAGATTTTAAGTCCAAGTTTTGTAATAATTAAATTCTCGAACCCTGGTTTTAATTTTTCTTAGGTTTATGTTGGATGTATGCTTTAATATTCTGACCTTTTATGAAAGAATTTCAAGTATTTCCCATTAATCACTTTACTTGCTGCATTCAAATTTATTCCTTTAATCACATATGCGTTTTTCGAGTATACTTGTTCGATTATAAAGGGACCTTCCCAATTATAAGACCACTTTCCTAAATGTCGAGAGTTTTGATCCATGGGAAGAATCACTTTTAACACTAAGTCTCCGACTTGAAAACCGCGCACTTTGACTCTTTTATTGTATGTTTTTTCAATTCTTTCCTTTTGTTGAACAAGATTTTGTAATGCTATCAACCTTTCTTCCTCTAAAGATTCTGACTCGTCATACATTAAATTCCAATAATCCTCGATAGACAAGTCATTCTGCTTCTGTATATGAATTGCTTGTAAATTAATATCTATAGGAAGAATAGCCTCATGTCCATACACCAGTTTGTATGGGGTAGTTTTTGTGGCATCTCTTGGTGAATTCCTATAAGCCCACAACACTTGGCAAAGGGTTTTGTGCCAATTTCGAGGTCTGCTCGAGATATGTTTCTTAATTAAACTGATAACTATTTTATTAGCAGCTTCTACTTGTCCATTTGCTTGTGCATAATACAGTGTCAAAGTTATTAACTTAATTCCCCTCGATTGAGCATATTGAGCAACCTTTCGACCCGTAAAAATTGTGCCTTGATCAGTGGTAATTGTTTGAGGAATTCTAAACCTTGTTATAATATGATCCTCAACAAAATCAATTAAGTCTTTTTGCTCGACTTCCTTTAAAGGAATTGCCTCAACCCATTTTGTGAAATAGTCTATGGAAACTAATATATATTTATGATTTTTCGAGGAGGGTGGATGAATTTGCCTTATTATGTCAATTGCCCAACCTAGAAATGGCCGTGGTTTAATAATCGAATGCAATTCACTTGCTGGTACCCTTTGTATTGGTCCATGTTTTTGACATTCCTCACAACTTTTCGCGAATTTGATGCAATCTTTAATCATGGTCGGCCAATACAAACCTTTTCTCGACAAGGTCCACTTCATCTTTTCACCTGCTTGATGTGCTCCACAGATACCTTCATGTACTTCTGCCATAGCTATGTAACTTTCATGACTCCCGAGGCATTTGAACAGAATCCCATCGAAACCTCTTTTGTATAATTCATTACTTAGCAAGACATAATTAAGGGCTTGGAGTTTGATTTTTCTTTTGACTCTCAAATTTGGATTTTGCAGGTACTCGACCAATTCTTTCCTCCAATCTTGCTGGCTCGATGAGCTGACACTTAGACTCTCTAGATGACATATCAATTCATTCTCTGTATGAATTCGGGATTCCAGACATTCCTTACTTACTTTATACCCTGATGCCACCTGAGCCAATTCATTTGCAATTGTATTCGCGTGTCGAGAAACATGTTGTAATTCAACCTCATCGAATGCGTTTAGTAATTGAGCAGCTCGAGTCTTGAATTCGATTAGTTTTTCATTCAATCACTTATATTCCTGAGTTAATTGTTTAATGACAAGTTGTGAATCTCCTCGAATTACCACATTCCTAGCACCTAACTCTTTAAGGATCTCGAGTCCAGTAATGAGCGCTTGATATTCGGTTTCATTATTCGAGTATCCTTTGTTCGTTTTTAATGACAATTTAGTTGGAATTCCTTTAGGGGAAATGATTAACAAACCTATCCCAGTGCCTAATCCATGTTTCGAGCCATCAAAAAATAATTCCCAAGGTTTGGTGGTTAAGTAATTGATTTCTTCAGTTATTTTCGAATGATCCGCGAGAAAATCCGCAATTACTTGTCCCTTTATGGATTTTAAAGGCTCGAAAGTTAATGAATATTCAGTTAACGCAAGTGCCCATTTTCCAATTCGGGAATGTAAGACAGGTTTACACAACATATACTTAATAACATTACTTCGACAAAATACTACAACATCACAGGGTCTAAGATAATACTTCAACTTTGTACAAGCAACATAAAGACTTAAACATAATTTCTCTAAAGGAGTATATTTATTCTCAGCTCCTACTAACATTCGACTTAAGTAATAAATGACTCTTTCGATGCCATTATCATCATCCCGCGCCAGCATGCCCGCAATGGTCAAATCGTTAGCTGAAATATACAATTTCAATTGTTTTCCTTTAGAGGGTGGTGTAATCACTAGAGGATGAGCCAAATAAGCTTTGATTTCATCGAACGCTTTCTGGTGCTCTTCTTCCCATCGAAATTCCTCCTCCTTTTTGAGACGCAATAGAG